CACCGGTGGTGCCGGTGCTCTGCCATCAAACCTGGTCCGCGTCCGAAACATCCGCCCCCGTCGTCGTCGTCCCACTCCTCGTCAATACCCGTCCGGTCATAGAGTGGTTCCGAAAAGTTCTGTCTCTCGTCGGGCAGTCTGTTGTCGATGTACTCGTCGGGAATGCGGCGGCAAAACCAGCGGACCTCAAAGTTCTTGTTGGTCGCGTCGTCCGGATCTACGGAGAACTCTTCCGGTGCGAAACGGATCCTATAGAAGAGCAGATAGGCTTATGTATACTGTATATAGTTTTGACTATAATCACAAACCTCTGACCCCAACCCCGGATGACCCGAGACTGAGCGCCTTCAGCCAACTGCGCGGATATAGGACTGCGGACTACTTTGACATATGTATAAGAGTGGGCGTAGAAGGGGAGCAGTGGGTGGGGCTCAGGACTGGTCATATTGATTGAATATCTGAACATATAGTAGCCGTCGGGCAGGAAAAACGGCGGCACATATAGGAAACTCTTGCGGTAGGAGTCGAGCGAAGACAAGTCAACCTGTTCTGTAACCGTTCCGTTCTCCTCCTCCAACCGGTATGCGTCCCAAACTCTGGTCACAGCAGTCGTGGCGTTACAGTCAACGATCGTCTTCGAGAACAGTTGGATTGGCTTTGATTTCCAGAACTCCAGACCTCTGCGCCAATTCACGACCCGATTCCTGATGTTTAGTATCGGAGGTTTGCAATCGATTTCTATCATAACAAAAAAATTGCATTGTTTTATGAATTATAATTTAGCAATAATTAATTAATTGTCTGCTATTTAATTAAAATAAAATACACGAAAGAACCTTTTTCCAATAATGTATGTAATATAAAAAGTTATATATCACTTTATATTTCTTTAATAATCAATTACAGTTGATAAGTTATTAAAATATTTTTATATTGTAAAGTATTAAAATATCTTTATAAATGATTTATTGTAAACTTTGCTTCAAATATTGTTTTAAATAAATAATTCATATAAGTTTAAAATATTCTAATATCAAAAAAACATTTGTAAAACAATTTTTTGTAAACTTTATGGTAATTATTTTGAAAAATTCTTATCAATCAAAATAATAATTTAATATTATTAAATAAATAAAAAAGTTGACAAACCTATAACAGTGACCGTCACTTCTCGGGAAATTGTCGAGATCTGATTGGACACCGAGAACTTGAGCCGATAGTCTTTGGGCTTATCGTACTGTTTGGATATATCCAACGGATTGGTCAGATTACCCATCAGAGTATACTTTACATCGGGGTATAAATAGCGACAGTTGCGAGAGTCGCCGAACGCCTCGATCTCAGCCTTATTCTGGCCGTAATCGACGATAAGACAAGAATTTGTGCCCATTTTTGCGAATTCAATGGCAAACCGTTTGATTTCCGGCTCAACCGTATCGTTAGACATGTCGTAGATATCCAGCCCTTCGATGGGCTCCAAGATATACATCGGAAGACTATATGATTTAGACTTCTTTTGAATGTTATTATAGCCATAAAATGTGAAGTTATAAAAACCCGGCTATTATTTGAAGCAAACAATTACAATAATTAGATATTTTGACATCGATTTAGTGTAAACCAATCGCAAACCTCTTGTGTCACAAATGAGGTGACATTATCTGTGGAGTTCTGGAGCGGATGGCCATTCAAATCGATGACATAGTGCTCAATATCACCCGTTTGTGTGGCAAAAGTAAAGTTAATTTGTCGATCAATAGGAAAGTAATCGGTGTTCGGACCGATGCCTGGTATGAAACCTCTGTCCGGATTGTGATATTTGGCGGTCACTTTCAAACCGGTGATGCGTCTCAAGACATCCACCTGTCATACGATGAGAATTAGTGATCACAAAACACAACACAAAAAACAGGACAATACCTGAAACCGGCGAATCTGTTTGGAGACGATGTTAGACATATTGACCTTAACGTTGTATTTGCCGGCCTTTTCGTACTCGTGTTGAATGACATGAAGACCTGTCCAGTCGGTGTCGGGCACGTCCCACACCTCGCGCTTGCCATCGCCGAAGTCGATGATAGTGCTCGCGTTTGTGGGCATTATTTTGTCCATCGGATACGTGAAGTTGAAGTCCACGAAACCGGGCAACAGTTGCGGCGAATTGGACACAATCTTCCAGTTCTTGTGCACCGGGTGTTCGGCGATCAGTGTGTGTTCGGTCGACGTCTCGCCCTGAAGATTCTCGGCCTTCACGCGGATGGTATAGACGCCGGGCTGACTGTACTTATAGGTCTTCATAAACCGTTGACTCGATTTAATTACTAGAAAATTAGATTTAAAAAATAAAATACAAAATTATTTTTATATAATTACAATATTTTAGTTATAAATTACATCTATGAAAACCTCAGGGTATTATCACTACTCACCGGGTATTTGATCGGTGACGGTATTTCCATCGCCGAAATCCCACAACACCTTAATGTTTGAGCCCTTATTCAACTGTATAGTGATGTCCACGCGTTGGTCAACGGGAGTGTCGGGCGGCATAACCGTTAACCTCATCTTTGAGATAGTGCTCTGGATATTGATAGAGCTCTCGCGGGTAATGGCGGCCGCTGTCCACCGGTTCTTCAGCGCTAAACGGATGCCGTATCGGCCGCTCTCCTCGTACTCGTGCGGTACAGTCAGTGCCAGGGGTTCGCTGACAATCGCGCGGATCAAGTGTTTCATCTGTTTTACTTCGCGGAACGCGTCCGATGAGAAGGCGGTGACGCCGTCCGCCGAATGGTCTGTGATATAGTCGGGTGTTTCGCCTTTTTTGGGCGCCCGATGGGCCAGTTGTGCGCCATCGCTACGTATGGCCAACACATCGCCGGCGAGCATACGGAAAGAACTCGTCGACTGCAGGTAGAAGTGGCCCTCAGTTATGGTTAGTGTGAATGTCTTCACAATACTATATGAGGTCTTTTTGGGCGGAAATGGTTGACAATTGTCTGAACAGCCCTTATTCAGTACGCAAAGGGCCGACGGCTCGAAGCACGTGATGCCGTGGCCTTCGTTGCATTCGGCCAACCCTTCCGGACACACCTTTCGTAATATCTGTTGATATTTAATAATTAATATCAAATCATATCTTGTAATTATTTTAATTATTTAGAGTAATTTAATATAGTTTAAAAAATATTATACATACAAACAATTGCATATTTCCCGGCGCCGCTCCGTAACCTTCCAGCGCTTGAATGGCGGCCGAAGAGTCCAACTCCTTCTCCGGTAACGGAATTATAAGCAATTCTTCGGGTTTAAGAGCGCTTCCAAACAGAACTGTTGGTGTCTTATACTGCGGTATATTCACGCCCAGCGATCGCATCGGCACATCTGGAAAATAAATGTAACAACATTTACTTATTAATGATAGTTTTTTATAATAATTATGATTAAATACCGGGTAGAGGGATGGGAACGGCTGGTGAACCGTCGCCAAAGTCGACCGTCATTTCCATACGCTGTCCAGCATTGACGGTGAGATTACAGAGAGCCGGGTCTCCGGGCTCTACCACTTTGGGACACTTGAAGTGTATGTTTTCGGTCACCAATTCGGACGTTACGTGAATGTAAGTGATTTCGGACAGCACTCGACGGTTCAGATGTTCCGGTTGTCGGGCGAACACTACCACCATATACTGGCCGGGCATGAAGTACCGGTGCTGGTGAGTCATTGTGGGCGACCAGTCGGTCGGATCGGTTCCGTCGCCAAAGTCCACCGAATACTCGACCTCTTCGCCACTGCCGACACTCACCTCAAAGCTCACCTCCTGGTCGACGGCCGCCTCTTCAGCCGACCCTTTGATGGCCAGCGCGACGATTGGGTGCATGACTTTGCCCTCGTAGTAGCGGACGTACTCATCGCTGCGGTCGCAGAGTTCGGCCGACACCTTATCGATGGCCTCGATGTTTGGCCGGTCGTGTTCGTAGGCGCACAGGCAGTGCTGGTGTTTCACAACTCCCGCGTAAGGCATCCACACTTTGGCGCAGAGGGCGGCACACAGTTGGCCGTCCATCCGGTCGGCCGAGTCGTAACCGCCTGGCGATTGTCGGAAGTAGTCGAAGGACGCATAGCCCAGACAATCGCCGTCCGTTAATACCTGTGCCGATAGTATAGGCGTTAGACTGAAAATGTATACCAAACACACGAATATCGCAAAACCCATTGGCTTTTGCATTATTCCGATTCTCTGTGTATTAATCGCTATTAACTATTGTTTGCAATCATTGTCTCGACATTAAACTGACCCTCAATTTGATTTGCAATTATTTTTTATACTTCACTAATATATCTGTTATGCTTTGTGTCTGTTTATTATTATCAGACCTAATGCCGCACTCCATGGAAACTAAACGCTATATTATTTATAATTTCAATTGCAATTATCATTAAAGTAATGCCTAAAAATATATACACTGTATATTGTTAAGCGTTACTCTTATTGTTTTGTGTGTTAATTAATTATTTAGATTTGTTTTTAGGGAGTTTATAAGCAAACAAACAATGATTTTTGTATTTGCCGTAAATAATTAATACGTGATATACATCTCAAACGGCACTCAACCGCAAACATTTGCGTCAAACTCTGTGCCAAACAATCGTTAAAATTGCTTCACATTTGGCTTTATGTGTAATATTTATGTCAAAATCAATGATATTATAATAAATTTGATCTAAATTAGTGTCCATTTAATCAATAATTTTATCTCTTATATGCAATTAATATGCAATAAACTAAACATAGATGTTTAATAATTTTCAAATATATTTAACACATTATAAGTACTAAATTTTGGATAAAATAAGAATAAAAATATGTTAATTGTTGAAAATACTTTAAACTACTGAAGTGTTGGGCAAATATTTTAAAATTAAAAACGAGCTTAAAATTTAGATTTGGTTAAATAGAATTTAACATGCTGACTTTTAATTCTCACAATTTTAGTCAATTTAATGTTAAGTTTTCTTAATTTTTTTTTTGATAATTTGTTGTTTACTCAAATACTGTTACAATTAATACCAAACTATAATATTAAATTAATTTTAAAATTAAATAAAAAGTCGTTTTGACTTTGAAACAATTTGATAACAATTAACGAAAGTGAATGCCGTCCCAATGTAACTAATTTGTGTAGTCATATAAATATATATTATAAAATTCATCATTATGCAATTACAGTCTACTAATTATAAATTCTATTATAAATGTGATATTAATTATTATAGTTGTAATTTTAAGTTCTAAATTTAAGTAAGGTTATAAATCTTATAAATAAATATTCTTAAAAATTACAGAACTTATTACTTTAACAGATTGCATATTAACATTTAAATTAGCAATGTAAGTTATGTCAATTTTATTACCAATAATTGTTATAAGCGATTAAAATACAATATTCAAATAATAAATTATATTAATTAATGATCAACGTTGATAAATTCCATAAGGATTAATTCATTATAATTTGTAACACAAATGTTTTTTAATAGCAATTTTAATATTAGTGATATTATATTACTAACTTTAAGTTATAATTTGATTTGTAATAACAATTAAAGGTAGACAAAATATTTAATACATCTTTTTAAAATATCAACATATTAACAAATAAAACATAATAATACTAATATTGTTAAAAATAATTAGTGCACAAAGGCATCAATGATATGCATATATTTCAATGTGTCAAATATTTTGCTTTTTAACAATTATATAAACAATTAGTGTCTCATAATAGGTAATATTTATTGTATGATCATGATTCAATGATCATACATGTATGTGCACTTTTCCAATAGTGAACTCACTTTACAGTACAATTCAATTGCAAATATTTTAATTCAAAGTCACAAAAAGCATAGAAAAAATTAAATAATTATCTGTTAAATGATAGTCAAAGTCAGTGTTGTGTATGAAAAATACCGCAAAAACAGCAAAACACACATTTGTTTAATTGATAATAACTTTATTTTTGAAATATATAATTTTTCTTTTGAATTTAAAGTGTTGTTTTAGTTGTCATTATTTGTATTAATATGTGTTATAATTACCATTGTTTACGAGACAATCGGTTAATTTCTTTGCATTATCTTATCATTCAATTAGTCATAACATATGGTTTGACTTTAATTTATTTGATTATATATTTCTGTAATGATTTTAAAATGTTATAATGATTTTGTTTTGTGAAGATTTGGGTTATATTTAGTGTAATAACTATTTTCTAATACAAAAATAGTGGCATAACTTCACAAGAATAGAGACATTAAATTTTTTAAGTATTTCTAACATTTGAAGTTTTTTAGTACAAAAAACAAGATTTTGAAATATTATTTTAAATTGATTTCTAAACACAATTGTATTTATTTTTCTATTCAACCGATTGTAAGCCTAATATATTTTTGAAATTACAATTTTTGTATAATATTTTAAAGAATTTTATCAAATTGAATGATTTATATTTATAAACCTTATTGAATTTGATATATCAGATGGAAAAAACAACCTGGATATATAATTTATGATACACTAGATAATAAAAAATCAAATTGTGAACCTAATGAACAATCGGATTGCGAGTTATTTACGAAACAATCAATCAAAACAACTCATCGGAAAAAAATCTTTTCAAACTAAACATAAGATATTACTATAATTTAATGGACGAAAACACCACACGATATAACACTCGTTGCGTTCAAAGGTAACGATAAAATCACTCAAACAATTGTGTACTCTCTTTGAAAAGGTCAAGGAGTTTGTGGTGTGGAGTATGCCCTCAAATACCACCCCATATATAGCATAACTCTCCGGTTATTATCACTTATCAAAACTTTTGATAAGAAAAAAATCAAAACAAAATGCAGTGTTTTTTTTTGCTGAACGCAACCAAAAGGATATTCTGGTTTTGAACAATAATTATATCATAATTTGCATATAATTTACAATTGAAGGCAAAAAATTGCTTTTAATTAGGCGATCAATCATTCATATTATATCACATATACAATTGAATTTAATTTTAATAAATATATCCTCTTATTGTAATTATATTAACAAAAATTACCATCACATTATTTACAAATTCCTAAAAACAAGTATTTTTAGCCAGATTTCTAATATATCAGGTATTTTCTGTGTATACATTAAAAATAGCTGAAAGTATTGCAAAACTAATCTATATTTTGGTAAATTAATTTTGAGATATTTTATTAGTTTTTCATTTATGATAGCAAATGGAAATATTAATATTAACAAACATTCAAAGAGTTTAAGTGTTTGATATATAAAAATACATTTTATTTCAAGTCTTAACTCACGAGTTAAATAAACACTAGTTATATAAATGTTTGCATTCAAGATAAATACTTTTGCCAATCAATACAAAAAAGTTTTGTTGCAAAATAGTCGGCAAATGTCAATACATTATAGAAACCATTCGTTAAATAACTGTTAAATTTAGTTATAAAGATTTTTAATAAACTAAATATCATTTAATTAATAAATACATTAACGATTAAAACATTTTAAATTACATTGATTTTAGTATTCAAAAAATTATCACTTTGTATTTATGCTCTATAAAATTTTAATAAATTAAAAAAACTTTTGCAATTATAACATTTATATTGCATATATTTTCTTATATAAATTTTATTGCATTGATTGCATAAGTGATGGCAATTTAGTGGATTGCATAGCGATATTAGCGATACCTGCAGTGTTCATAATTAATATAGACATAATGTATATCTATTATCAGTACTGTTATATTCTGGGTAATTGATAATCACGGGTAGAATTGAGTTGAGGCACTGGTATAGTAATTAAGTACNATGGCAATTTAGTGGATTGCATAGCGATATTAGCGATACCTGCAGTGTTCATAATTAATATAGACATAATGTATATCTATTATCAGTACTGTTATATTCTGGGTAATTGATAATCACGGGTAGAATTGAGTTGAGGCACTGGTTTAGTAATTAAGTACCGGAGCGAGAGAGGTGTTGAGCTTTGCCTTGAATTGATACGAGGAGAGAGAGAGAGAGAGAGAGAGAGAGAGAGAGATGTCAAGGCATTAAACATACAAATGAGAGGTAAGTTTATTATATTAGGCGCCTTCGTGTCGATACTGCCTCTGGATCTGTGACTGAATGGTTAGGCATTCAAATACATTGATAGCAACAGTGAACAAAAAATTATATAATAAATTAATAGACTAACAAAATAGTCGCCAAAGTGTTTTCCATGCATTTTGCGTTTCCCTAACTTTTTGTCAGTATTTGATTTGAAATAAACTTCTGGAGAAACACCACTTCTGGGAAAAGACAAAACAAAACTTTTTGATACAAAAGTTGTTTTTCTGAATTTATTTCCACATTTTATATCTTATTGAATGCATTGATCGAAACAGTTGTGTGGATACAAATAAAATGTATTATATTTTATTAGGCATTGAACTCACGGGTGCTCTCATAGGGCGCCCACTGAAGCTATTGTTGGATTCAATGTGCGATTGAATGCATTGCATGTAAGAAAAAAGTCATACAAATAATAAAAAAAGTTTTGTTGAATAGCGAAACATGTATTCATATAATTGGCATCCGATATACAGGTGATGCTGTTTTGCTCGCATACATACATAACATAGTAAACATGCATTCCTGTGAAGGTCAGGTGTACGGCCTTGGAGTTGTACCCTAACGGTTCTGGTTATGTATA